GCCTTTGTCTGTGTTCGAGATGAGCTAGTTCTGCGCAGATTAGACCAGCAGTGATCGGCGAGCAGTGCATGCGGTTAGATTTGTGTCTGACTTGACACCGACTTGCTCTGACGTCATGCCTATGTAGGCAACGATAACCTCGTGAGATCAAGGCGGCAGCAGATTTTGGAGCAAGGCGCTGCAGTTGCTCTCCACCGCCTGCAAAACCTAGGGGATGACGGGAAATGCCTGGCTCTCATCTGATTGGTTCACATTTTGATCCAAACATCCGGTGGTAGAACAGGAAATGTTAGCTGGTCACATGTATTCTGTAAATCATGTGACATTGATGATAACTATATAGGCCATAAAGAGAAATGTGGTTTGTTTTCTTTTGTCACGTTTCCTATGAGCACACTAAACCTACAGCTGATAACCTTTACTTATTATTACAGTCATGTCTCCATATACAATATATGATAACCACACGCACGTGAGGATGTGTTTCAGCTGCTAACGTTAACGCGATATCTTCAGCCATCGTCACCCCCGAGCTACACAAGCAGGAAATTGTGTCCGACTTAAACGCCGGCTTTCAGCCACTCCCCCTGCTGCTTCCGTCTGCTCTCGTCTGTTTTCCAGGCGAGGCGCTGCTCAACTCGAGCACGGCCATTCTCTGCGCCTCCCGTCTTCTTTAAACCGCCAAGAATCGTTCCACCTATGCACACGCTTCTCTGCTTCATACTGTTTGGAACTGTCTCGCTTCTCCTCACCAGTTTTAAAGCGTTTTGTCGGAGATTTCATCAAGAAATCCCATTCCTGTGGTGGCGCCATCTTCCTGCGTGCTTGCGTGTTTCTAACGTGGTTCCACTTCGTCTTTAATAGTGAACCTATAGTTCACGTGACTATAACTGGAATCGTGCAGTACGTGGCTAGAGGCGCGCAGGTTCACGCACGAGAAACAAAAACGGCGGCTTCCTACAGGGCGGGGCCATGATGTAGGTGAAAGCCGGTGTGTAAATGACAAACAAGGCTTGGGCGCCACCCGGGCGGTAAGTCGTCAAGTATTTACCGCCCGACGAGAAAATTTAGCGCCATTGGCGCTAGGGCGCTTTAAAGGTGTACCCCTGGTCAGGTCCTCCCAAAGTTAGTCTCGCCACTTGTTCCAAGGATGACTCTCTGAACAACAGAGCTCATTATTGGTAGGCCTCTTGGCTGGATGGGAGCATGTAGGGGAGTAGATGTTTGTCAGCACCTGGTTGTGTTCTGTGTGGATCCTCACAGTGTAAAAACAAATCTGGCAACACACACACACACACACACACACGCACAGAGCAATGTTTGACACCAACGCTGAGGTGCTACATGCTTTACTGTCTTTGCTCATTTGACGAGCCGTTTCCCATGGTCTGTCGCAGATTACCCTAACCCTACTCGTCATCAGGAAGGGAGATTTTCCATGATTTTTCCTGACCTGTTCTGGATTTCAGAAAGTTAACAAAGTTTGTTGATTCTCGTGTAACTTGTTCTTTAGCTGGACAAACACTGTGCGTTTTTGGCCCATTTTGAGTGTTTTCCACTCTTTCGACAATTCCCGGTGTCAGACTGAGTTTCAGCTTAATCATCGTGTGCTACGAAGAAGGTAACTAGCAAGAATTGACCGATATGTCGGTTGGCTAATGTATTGGGCTGATATTTACCAGTTCTCAAAGATCGGCTGTTGCGGATATGTCTTCAGTAGAGCCAATTTTAAAACGGCCACATCCATGGGCAACACAGCTCCAACAAATTTGATTCAGTTGTGGTGATGGGAGGGGTTGGTGGCGCCAGTGCTCAGCAGCCTCACCATTGTCTGCATGACCCAGGGCAGCTGTGGCTACATTGTAGCTCATCACCATGTGAATGTGTGCACGTATGGGATGACTAGTTGTGTTGTTTTGCGCCTTTAGGGGGGTTGTAGGATTCAAGAAGGTGCTATATCAAATACAGACCATTTTGTATATTTACATTCCTGAAGTCCTCTACCTAATAAAAGCTCTTTTCCTTTTATTCACCAGGTTTTTTTTTATATTTGACTCAGTCAGTTTGCTCATTTGTTTGATTATCTTTAGTTAAATGTTTGATTTTAATTCTGGGAGCATGTTAAGATTCAAAGGTAAGTTAAATTCATTGTGCACCCATTGTTATTAGCATTATAGCTTGTAAATAAGGTGGAAAACGAGTGATTTGTCCATGAAAGTTGCCCCACGACCTCTACGTATCTGCATTAGAAAAGCCAATATCTTCTTCACCTCACCACCAGCTCCTGATCAGCAATCATGTGGTCGCACAAAAATCCCACCTGTTTGAAATCCTGGTCGCCCATCATGTCGTCGCACTGCTAAGGCGTTGCCATGAGCCCAGTTCACCTGCTCAGGTGCCAACACATGGTGGTGTGTTTGATTTGCTTGTGCATTCTGGCAGTGTCTCCTCACTTCCTTGTTTTTTCTCTTTCTTCTCCCAACATGTCGCTTACGCACGTACAGTTGCGAGCAGTCGGGTGGTACCCAAGCATCGGGTCGTACGCTGAGAGTTTTTGAGCTCAGCTCCGTAGCCGCAGGATTCGACTACTGAATCAGTCTCCGAGCGTCTGCCCAGCTTTAGGTTGTCGAGAGCAGCAGCTGCTCCTGTCTCTGATGAAAACGCTGTCTTTCTCCCTTCCTTTCTTTTCCCCGTTGAGCACTTGTTGCTGTGGATAAACAGTGCAGGAAATATTCGTGGCAGTCTGCCAGCATCTGTGAGGAAACCACAGAGAATACAAGAAAAAAAGGAAAGCAGACAAACTTTGAGGTCAGTTTTTGGAGAGCAGACTATTTTCCTTTACGCTCAGCTGTGTGGTATTTGTGTATATCAACTGTCAGCTGCATGTGTGAGAATGTTTGTAACCACGAGAATTACTGTCAGCTCTGTGGCGCGCGCGCGCCGGTGTGCATTTGGCCTCGTGCCACGCCGTGAGACGAGGAGCGCTGGTGAGCTGTCTAGGTAATTGGGGCTTACCTGACAGATGTGTGCGCACACACACACACACACACACACACACACACACACACACACACACACACACACACACACACACAAAGAATGGATTAGATGACATTAACTACAGTAGGAAATGGCATAATTGAATACTTGCGCATGATTATGTGAACATGCATGCTCACATTTGACAGTGTAATGAGGGGCCGCTGCATGTTACACACACACACACACACACACACACACACACACACACACACACACACACACACACACACACACACACACACACACACACACACACACACACACACACACACACACACACACACACACACCTATCTGGCTTTTTAAGAAGCTGGAAAGCATTGTTTGGTGTGTGCGTGTGTGTGTGTGTGTGTGTGTGTGACGGTTGTCATCCATCAGCTGCAGACACTTTTTTTTTAAAATCCAGCCCTCCTCATGGACTTACCCTCCAGGTCTTCACAATCAAAACACTAAGAAAGCTTATTTTTTCCTGCTGGAGGAAGAAAAAGAATCAGACATGTCAATATTGTGAAATGTTTTGTCTGCTTTCAGTTCCTGGAAATGACAAAAAAAATCTAAGTAGCTCTAAATGCTTTCAAACCCTCTTTTTTTATGTTTTAGCAGAAAAAAATACAGTTCTAGTGACTTAAACAGATTCAACGCATGAAGATTCATCTGAAGTCTTTTAGAAATGACATTTGGGTGTCAACACACACACACACACACACACACACACACACACACACACACACACACACACACACACACACACACACACACACACACACACACACACACACACACGTGCACACACCCTGTTGTGATGCTGCTATAAATAGCAGAGGCCTGTTAGCACACATCAGAATATGAAAGGTGTAACTCATTACAGCGGCATAATAAGCTCAGATAAACTGGGAGAAACCAGAGATTCCTGTTGTCTGTTGTTACATCAACAGTTTGGGGAATTGTTCCATTCTTACGATGAGTGCAACGATCTGTGGTTTCTTTTCACATAACGACTCAACGTGACATAGAATTAAAAAAGAATCTCACTTTTTCCACGTGAATCCGAAGTGTTTTCTCCGACACTCGCTAACAGCTGACATCCACTCGTCCTGAGGCTTGACGTGGAGAAATTTGCTATTCCACAAGCAATTTTTTTGTTGACGCTTGTGTCTAATCTCATTTCCTTTAGTCATTAGTGTTAGACATCAAGCACAGCTGGCAGAGCGGTGAGAGGCAGCAGCAGCGACGTGGGAATAGAAATGTGCTCGTTGCTGTTGGACACACACTAAGGAGGCTTTTAGCGGCTCTCATTTCAACAGCATCTTTTTCTAATGAGCTCTGGATATGAGCAGTAGGTGTTGTAAATACATTCAGGCTGAGACTTTGGGACACTCTGTAATATTTTTGTTTATCGCTAGAAGAGATAAGCGTCACAAACTCACAGATGCTTCCGAACGATTCACCACTGTGACAACGCCATCACTGCTGATCCTGTAATACGTGTGTCCAGATAGCTGCGAGCTAATGCTTTGTTATGCTAACGTAGTGACAGAAATGGACACGATATCTTAAAGGAAATGTCAAATGTATGATTATTATGATGATTTCTCTAAGATTCATGGTGTTCTCTGATTTACTGAGGTGTTGGCAGCCTAATAATGCTTAGTTTGCAGCTCTTGTATTTACCAGCCTCATTATTAGTTGGTGAACGCATTCCTTGGCAAAGATCTGAGCTTGTACACTTCCTTTTTATTTTTATTTTTTTACCAACACTATTGTGCAGATCTCAGTGCATTTCCTCGCCTTGACCTCAAGCCACAATTCTTCCTGCAGTTTCTGCTGTCTGGCAACGCTCTTAGCATCTTCCACCATAAACAACCGCCCTACTTCTGCACATCAGTCCAAATTCAAAGCTGTTTTCGGTGTCTGGTAATTATTTAAATTCTTCTGTTTTCTCTGTTTTTTCCCCCCAGGATGACAGTGATGGGATCCCGTGGTCGGAAGAACGGATGATGCGAAAGGTGCTTTACCTGTCTCTAAAAGAGTTTCGGACCGCACAGAAACGGCAGCTGGACGGGGATGGGCCCACCAACTCTGACGGTGAGTTTAGATCTGCGTCGTAAATGGATCTGATGATGTGTGTTTATTTTGGTTTATCAGTAGAACACAAACACCATTAGACCAAATGTTTCTTGATGCAGGAAACCATTCTTAGTGATAAAATGTGTGGTTTTGTGCTGAATGACTACTTATTTGCTGATGAATAGTTATGTTTGGCCCTTTTTAAGGCTGCATAGTTGAATGAGTGCGTTTACATGCAGCCAGTAACCCTTTTAAAACCCGAATGTTCACAATAACCCGGTTTCGCAGGTCCATGTAAACACCGCCAAAAACCCGGATATGCTCATAACCGGGTTTTTTAAAACCCGGGTACTACACCTGGGGTAACCCTTTTCTAACCTGAATGTTTGGTCGTGTAAACGCATATCGGGATATCCCCATCAAAGCGTGTGTTCTGCGCATGATCTGTTCGCAAGGAATCTTGGTCTTTTGAGTAGCGAGACGTCTTGTATGCGCCAGAACACCGGAAGTAAACAACAAGTTGGGAGCAACATGGCGAGTCGCGGCACAGCACCACACTTTTGGAGTGACGAGGAAACTAAAGCGCAAACAAACACGGTCGCTATCTCTTCCGAACTGGGAAACATGTTGTTATTTTCATGGATACCGGAACGAGAAGAACCGGAAATGACGCTTATTGCGTCTGAACGTAGTCCATACGTCCTGACGCTACCCCAACGTCCGCATTTAAATCGGGTTATGCAAGTTAGGGGTAACTTTTTCTATTTATGCTTGTAAACGGGTTATTCTGATCAACTCAGAAACCCGAATACCGACCTTAACCCGATCATAACCCGGATATTGGCTGCATGTAAACGTAGTCACAGTTGCTTTTCTTTTTAAATGCATTCAGTAGTGTTTATATCTGGGGATTATAATTTAGCCCCAACTAAGGGGTATTGGTATTTCTTAAGAATTAGCTCTTTTTGTGATACTAGAATTGTTGTAACATAATTTTTAGTTGGTCAGGAATCGTTACCTAATCTTTACTTGAGACAAAAATAGCACGAGGTGATCACTAAACAGTGTGAGGCTATCTGTATACTACACAGACACACAGCTCTTCAAATGGTCCAGAACGCAGCGGCGCGTCTGGTCTTCAATCAGCCAAAAAGAGCACACGTCACCCTTCTGTTCATTGAGCTCCACTGGCTACCGCTAGCAGCACGCATCAAATTCAAATTGCTAACACTAGCATACAAAGTCCGAGATGGTACGGCTCCCATCTACCTGAATCCTCTTGCAAAGGCTTACGTCTCGGCCCGGCCGCTCCGGTCATCACAGCAAGAGTTAACCACAAATCCCGCCCAGCCACTCTGAACAGGCCATTTCCAGTACATACTCCAGTTCGGGTACTCAGTTGATCCCTGAAATGGCGAAAGTGATCCTTTTGGCCTGGCGACAGGGAAATGAAGATACATGCATACCGTGAAGGTCCAATAGTGGAAAGGGGTCTTGTCTTTACAAAAATGTTTCCAAAATATCTGGAAATGTTTGTGAGGGTTCTCGATTCTCCCACCGGTTGTAGGGCCTCACTCTAGCCTCAAACAAAATGTTCAGAAATCTGGTTCAACCCGTTCTCTCTCAGAAGAGTCGCCACGAGCATCTCAAACCCTTCTCAATTTAGTTTCTTTCTCTTAAAGTGCGAAAAACGTTGAAGATTTTACAACAAGGACATTAGCACCACTGTTGGGATTTGCTTGCGACTGCATCACATGCTCTCTCGTTGTCCAGTCTGTCGCAAAAATGTCGTTCTAATTAAGTATTTCTATATTTTCTTGCGTCTGTCTCCAGCTGTTGCTGTCAAGTGAGACACTTGCATCTGTGATTGATCACCAGACATTCATTAATTTTGTAGATATCTCTTCAAAACACAAATCTGTGGCTTTTTCCTGCTTGTGGTTCAATGAGTGGCTTTCTTTATTCGTTGACTCTAGAGCAGGGGTGTCAAACTCATTTTAGCTCAGGGGCCACATTGAGGGAAATCTAGTCCCAAGTGGGCTGGACCGGTAAATGAAAAAAAAAAAAAACTTCAGATTGTTTTCTTTGTTTTAATACAATCAATATAAAACAAGGCTGGCGCCTGAGGACAGTGTAGTACAAGTACAACACCTGAAGTGTACTTGAAAATTTGAAAAAAATGAAAATATCAACAAATAAAAAAAACATTCCTTAGTGATTCAAAGAGCTTACAGATCACATGGCTAGATCAGTTTCATGCAGCACTTAAAGTATATTTGACTCATTTTACTTTACATCGTTTAGCTTTCACCAGCACATCAACATCAGAAGTCACATCCTGAGTGGCGGCCAACTTCAGGATGTGATTCAAGTTCTTGTGTGAGCCTTGAGCGCAGCTTTGTTTTATTTATACTCATTACAGAGAAAACTTGCTCACAATGATACGTTTATTTTCACTCTACATTGTAAAGTATGAAAATAAAGTTTACACAACCATCTCGCGGGCCGGATTTAACCCGCTTGCGGGCCGGATCCGGCCCGCGGGCCGCATGTTTGCCACCCCTGCTCTAGAGCCTCCCAGTTGGAACTGAAAACCTTCACCGGCGTGTGGAGAACATGCAAAGCCCACACTGAAAGACTCCAGCCAAGACCGATCCGTCATTTCTGACACGTTACATCCAAAAATGGATGTTTATAGATCCGTTACACGTGTTTTATTCTTTATTCTTGGACTGATGCTCCCTTTGAGACATGGTCTGTGTGTGCCACTTTAAAATTATGCCATCAAATGTACTAACTAACCCAAGCTGGAAACTCTGCCTTTGTTCCTTTCATTTAGTCAGAATAAAGAAACTCTGCGTGAGGATTTTGTGGAGTAAATGTTAGGGTTTTGTTGGCAGCTCGTGGAACAAACGATCAAGGAATCTCATTCGTCTTTTGTTGTGGGTCAGCGAGCAGAGAGTTCCAGACTCTGCTGGTTCAGTGTTGCTGCTCAAAGGGGGCCATTGAGCCAAAACGTTTCCCTCTTGTTTTCAAAATGCACGCTACTCATCAAAAAGAAGAACTCTGAGGTTGTTCAGTGGCAAAAACAGGAAAGCACGAAGTGTCTGTAGCGTCTTCAAGCTTGGACGTTTCTACTTACCCTAGGGACTCTAGAGACTTCGTGAAACACATGCTCGTAGGGGCCTTTAGCGAGGCATGAAGTAGTTGGGAATCTGGTTCCAGGTGGAAGCTTGCTACTGTAGCATTTCCAGGATTTGTGTGTTTTAGTGTGTAAACCTTAAGCAGCAGGAGAAAGGTGAGAGCCCAGGAGGAGGAGCGGTGTGTTTTGAGGTGAGCTGGCCCGCATGTCTTTGTTTGACCCTGGTGTTTTCTGTACACAATGTCCTCAGTCAGCCAGCAGCAACGATTTGACTATAACGAATGAGCCAGGAAGAAAAAGAGCCCAGCTCCTGGTTTTTGTAGTAGGACAGAACCCGGGGGCAGGAAAAGGACAAGAAAGGACTCCTTTAAAGATTTGATGCTTTATCCCCCCCCCCCATGCTTCTTCCACACCTTTTATTTATTCACCGTTTGCATGTGCCGACCGCCCCTCCCTCTCCTCGTGTCTGTCTGGCATCTCATAGTTGCCACTCCAGCGCTCCTCGGGGCCTTTTAAGCCGCTGCGGGTAGCTGACCTTATCGCCTGAATAAAAATGACTCATTAAGAAGCATCGGGGGCCTGTCGCGCTGGGGGTAACGACAGCAGCCCGCGTTGACACAAAAGGGGGCCGGGCTGAATAGATGGGCCCTGCTGTTTCGGAGCAACGTGGGTTAGCCAGGCATAGGAGGGGGCTGTGCGAGCGGCGCGGTTTCCCATTTTGCATAGACGTTGTGGTGAAACTGTCAGCCATTTTGGAGGATCACACTCAGCATGCCGTACATCCTGAATGGGCAGCCCCTGCTGCTTTAGAGGACGGTGGGCTAGAGAGTTTGGGTTTGTGCTTGAGCCATGCATGTGCCGCAGTTTTTAGCCATTATTACAAAACAAACAGCCCTTGTGAGAGAGGGAACGTGCAGGATTATTAACAAACATGAGACAAGATGACGAAAAAAAGACGTGTTTCTGCTCTGTGAAATTTCGAGATGAAACGGTCAAATATTTAGATTCTTCTAGAGTGGAAGTTGTTGCTTTTATTGATTTTAATACTATTCTATAAAAACTTTAGAGCAAGAAATTCAGCAAAACACATCGTTTCAGGGGAAAACGGAGAACGTGTACTAAAGAAAATCTGTCCACATAAAAACCGTGTCGGGAACAAGCCAAACCTCTAAACACGTTTCTTCTTCTTTGTGTTTTATGCTGGGCTGGGACCAGCCGCCAAGTAAAATGTTGCCTTTTCCCGCCAAATCACTGATACGTGGAACTTGAAAAGTACAGCCTCAGTTCCAGTTAATTCCCCAAAGTGCCGCCTGGTGAGACTCTCGCCTCACACTTTATCTCTCTGGGTACCGGAGTGTGTACACTCTTCATGTGTGGTTCTGGGAGGCAGTGTTTTAAGGCCAAAAATGAATCTTTGGGCCAAATTAATTCACTCATTCTTGTATAAAAGTCTATAATTTAGTCAAAGGAAGGATTCCTTTACCTTCCAGTTTACAAAACTTACATGTAGAGTTTTATTTGGGTGTTTAAGGGCTTGGGTCGCGGATGTTGGTGACATCTGTGAATAAATGAGAATCAGCAGGTCAGAGATGGACACTAAATGGAAAACAACCATCCTTTTTATATGACGACCGTGCCCCCTCCCCTAATCCAGCCATCCTTCCAGCCTCTTTGCCTCACGCTCTTGGCAGGCGTCCACCTCCGTCGTGCTTCCTGCCTCTCCATCCCTGCATTATTTAACAAATGACATTATGCCCTTGCGCGCCCCGTCTTCCACTCGTTCACCCACGCATCCGTTTTTTTCCCCTCCGCAGCCACATTGCTCCTCTCCTTGTCTCATCCCCATTTCCCTCCACTCGTTCGCCCTTCCGTTTCT